GACTGCGACTGCGACTGCGACTGCGACTGCGACTGCGACTGCGACTGCGGCTGCGGCTGCGGCTGCGGCTGCGGCTGCGACTGCGACTGCGACTGCGACTGCGACTGCGACTGCGACTGCGACTGCGACTTCGACTGCGACTGCGACTGCGACTGCGACTGCTGCTGTGGCACAGCGTGCAATTCAATGCACACCTTCCCAGGCATATACGGTACAAGTGCGCTCCAAAACCATGTTCACGATTCTTCGCACTTTGCCTTTGGTTCAGCGTTTTGGTTTACGTGCGAAAATGTTGCTAACGTCGTCGTGGCAGCGGAACCTTGTCTCTTTTGGTGTGCTTGTGGCTGTCTGCCCGCAGGGGGTCTGAAGCGCAGATGCAGAGCCAGGAAGAGTGGGGCGAAAACTCTATGTGGCAAACCGGATACCTCAGTTTGAAGGAAGTAGCATAGCATAGCAATGCACAGTGAACCACACTAGCAGCTCAACAAAAAGCGACCCGGCCTTAGCCTCGAGGCGGACTCCCCCATCACTAGGCCGCACAGAGGTCAAGTGGACCTCAGCATGTGTACAGATATACAAAGATATACCAACAGTCATGGGGGTGGACCGGAATATATGTGTGTGTGTACACATACTTATACACAGACATGTGCATACACAGATACGCAAACTCTTACATGTACATATACGACATGCATATGCATACACACACACACACATTTACATACAGTGTATGAAATCTATACACGCATATATAAAAGTCGTCTACACATATATACGTGTTCGATACGGCTGTAGTCTAGCATAATGTAATGCCATATCATATGCTATAAAATAAGATAGCATAGCTATGTGGAGCTTGGTATCGTATAATATAATAACCGAATATAGTCGAATACCAACCATATCATAAAATGTCAATATAAGCTACAACGTAGCAGCATGTCGTTCACTAAAGTAGGCAATAGAATAACATAATCTAACACCTCTATGTTATGGTAGTACAACTTAATACAACGTAAACTGACAAAAGAAAGTGTAATGATGTAATGAAATATACAATATACATTATACACTAGGCTAAAATATAACAAAATATAACATAATAGAATATCATATAATATAAGATAAGGCCTTAATTCTAGTACAATATAGCAAAATATAATATAATGCAATATAGTGTTATATAGAAATGAGAATATACTATATAATATATTGCAATATAACTTAATATCATACAACATAAAATAATATAATATGATATAATATCATATGATATGATATAGCAAGATATAATTTAATGTACTATAGCATAATATAATATAATGTAACATAATACAAATATAACATTATACAATACAAAAAATATCATATGCTATGAGATGATATAATATGATGTAACATAATATAACATAGCATGATGCAATATGACATAATGCAACACAGCATTAGTACAACATAACATGCTACAAGGCAACAAAATACACTAGCAATTAAAAAATATTGTGAGATAATACAAAGTATGATACACTATACTATTAGATTCTTTACTCGGGGTTCTGACCTTCAAATGCCTCAGGTCGGCCAAGTGCGAGGCCGGTGACTGAGACAAGGAAATGGCGGACTGCTTGCAATTGAGCAAAGCGGGAGCTTCCGAAAACAAGGGGGGGCCTTATTTTGGGATCCTTATAATAGGGATCCTACTATTTAGGGTGCTATATTCGGGTCCCCTCTTTTCGGAAACACCCAAATTGAAACGAACCACAAAACACATCCCTGCATGTGCTGTCAACGAGAGAACACAACAAGCCCGATGCCGAACCTGGCTGCGTCCGAACGGCAGACATCGACTTCATGGTTGGGCAACAAACGCCATTTCCCAGGTCCCACCATCCATTTCTAAAGTCCGAAGTCCAATGCGTAAGCTACTGATCAAGCTGTCCCCGACATAATGCGCTTTGTTGGCATGCCCTTCTGCTCCACGACATTTAGAAATCTACACGTGCACTTGGATCAAACCTCTCGTCCAATAGCTAGCTGCATCAAGCAGAACCGGGAGCATGGCTGCATGCGATGGAACCTGGCTTATCAGGATGCAATGGAAAAGGCATGCTCAGTTTAGCATGTACACCTGCTGAGTGTCAGAATCGCCAACAGTGTCCATTGACAAGCTCTTGCTGCAACAGAGCGCTGAATCATGAGATTCAGCCTTAACTAGCTGCAAGAAAGGTAAAAATTGACACGATGGCCCTCAATATTAGCCGTCGAGCGAACTACACTGTACCACGCAGGTCTCAACCCTCTGAGTCTTTGTGGCAGCTCTTCAGCTGGCCATGTTTACAGTACTACAACATGGTAGAAGCTGGCACATTAACAGGGGAGCAACAACCATCGTTGCTGCCCATTACTGGCCTTGTGGCTGGAAGTGCTCTAAGCATGTAGACTGTGTCTTCACTGTTGCAGCCGTGCTCGCTGTGGTTGCTGACGCTTTCGGACACGCCTCGGCCAACTCTGCCATAGTGGACTGCACGGTGGAGTCAAGGGCGTGCCTGCACAAAAGATGTGCCCAGGCTCAAGCATGCGATTGCCATGGTTGGCTGACCTGTCGAACCTGCATGCCGGAACAGCGACGCACGAGCTACACCTTCCTCAAAACGTGCTGTCTGTCTGCTCACCACACAATCCACTTCTCCCTGAACTGCCCCTTGGCATGTCCGTCCAAGGAGCTGCAGAGCAGGATTTGCTCCGAGCGCTTCGCCATCCTTGGGCATCAGATCTCGCGACTATGCTGTGAGCGAGATAGAGAGAGAGCGAGACAGAGAGAGACAGAGAGAGAAGGAAGAGAGAGAGAGAGAAGACACACTGATAGAAGCCTTGCCAAGAGCACAAGCGAACCAGGTACATACTACCGTATATCTGATGGAAACGAGAAAGACAATTCAACAATAAGAACACTAGAAACTAGAACAGCAAGATGCATGCATGTTTAATTAGAGACGTCATCTTCTTCTTGCAATTAACAGAGCACAACAGAATTTGCAAATAAAAGTATTTACCCTTCACAATCATCGGCATCTTCTTGTTACATCGACAACTTGTTGCTGTGATGCGAGAGCTCATGTTGACAATAATGCTAACCTCACTTCAGTAAAACCCCTCCTAAATCACAAAGCTCTATACCGGAAATTCAATTATCAACCTCCCGTTCCATTATCAAACCTGATCCCGAAAACTCCATAGTAATCCCGTCCGTGGTCCCTAAACGAACACTTGGCCCCTTTCGTCAGCCCTCCCAGAGTCGCAGAGAGAGTCAGCGAGTGGAGGAGTACGGCAATCCTCTCTCAGAAGGGTAGTGGCAGTGGGAGTGGGAGTAGGAGTGCGAGTGGGTGTGTAGTGCTAGCGGCAGCGGTAGTGGGAGTGGCAGTGGTGGTGGCAGTGGTCGCTGCAGTTGTAGTGGTAGTGGGGTGATGCGAAAACGCTGACAAATCTGCATACCTCTCATTCCGACTGTACCGGAACATGTAATGTCAGTATGGCAGCCGATCTGAGAAACAGACGAGACCGGAGAGGGTCATGGCCAGCTCCTGGCATTGTGCACTGCAAGCTGAAGCAAGCTTGGGAGCCGGACGATCGAAGGGCGACTGCTACAGACACACGAAGTACCCCCAGCTGGCGTCCCGAAGCATCTTTCTGGAGCGCTTGCATCCATACGCAAGTATATACAGATTGCAGGTTACTGCACTGAATATGAATTCACGATCACAGATCACAGAGCTGCCGGGTTCCCGGTTGCCGTTCAACGATCCAGTGAGACGGCGCGGGATCACCTAGTCACTCTGATCAAGTATGAGGAAGGGCAAATTTAGGCGTGGATGATTGCAGACGGTCTGAGAGACTCCTGGCAAATAGTTCTTTTCTACAGAAGAAGTCCGACGTCTGACATCGGTTGGAGGCTCTCATCGCCGATCATCACCACGGGACCATTGCCGAAAAATAAGCGAGTGGATTCTGCAAATCTGAAAGCTCTCAGTTTCCTTGCTGTATGCCTGCCGAGTCCACTCTGCCCAGAAAAGATTCCACAGTGCGCCGCCGTGGACTTCACACTCTCTGACCAGATTCGCAGGCGAGGCAGCTTGGGGGTTTGGAGAGCTCTGACGACTGATGACACAGACCTGCAAGACGGCCTGGACTCGAAGCAAACATGTCGCCCCCGATTACGCAACCCCGGAGAGAGTGCATTCTGTCACTTTAGAAAAGAAGAAAGACATCGAGAGGCCACCACACCCGAAGTTCGGGGTGCAATCTCATGTTACAGCCCGGAAGAAAATTGCACTCGGATCTGACAAAGCTCCGAGAACCAGACCATGGATTTTAAAATATCTCGTAAAGGGGCTAAACGAAACTCCTTGCAAGATCTGAATGCAATCGACCTGCTCATGTAAACCAAGGCTGTTCAATGCGAACTGAGTACATAAACACAGAGGCTTGCCGTGTTCTTGCCGGCGCTAGGGCTAGGACCGCGTGCTATGACTGAGACAAGAAGCACCAGACCGTCCACAGGCAGGCCTCTGACAACCAATCCCTGCGCTTGACGATGAGTCAACATGGACCCAAAAGCACAGGCATGACATCCTCAATGAGACAGCGAATTCATCAACTATACCACGACTCCTATGACGGCAAGAGTACAGCCATGGAGGCACAGAGTCGTGAAAATGTCACAGCTGGATGGTAAACGTCTGGCAACGCTGCACTGAGCAGCGCCGCGGCCTCACGCGGTTTACTCTCGTATTGCCAGCTTTTGCCCTCGTCTTCGGGCTCGGTTTCGCCATCACCTGAGCATCCCGCACCCAATGCGGCAAAAGGTACATCCGAACCTTGTGGGAAACCTGAGCCTCGTCCCGGAAGCCTCGAGCAAGCTTTTGCAACCCGAACAGTCAGACAGATGACAGTGCCAAAGAGCCGCCGCAGACCCAAAAACTTTCGCTGCACAGCCTGAACATCAAACTCAACATCTACCGGCATCTACCGTCCAGGGGCTGTCTGGTCTTCGTGAGGAGGAACTTGTGCTGACTTTCGGTCTTTCTGTGTCTGAGCCATGTCCATTCGCATCCTCGCAGAACCACTCGGACACTCAGAGACCAGAAAGACTTTGGATCTGAGGCCTCACAGGTCCCAAGCAAAGAAGGGGCTCTGGGAGATGTCACAGAGCCAGGAGGCCTGAAAATTTTGATGGCGAGCTCGAACGCATCTGGATCGCTCTGCACGAACTGACAGAACCTGAGATCATGAAGGCACTCGCAGGCTTTGGAACTGAGGCCACCGGGGGTCGCATGCGGCTACTGGAGGCGATGCAACCGTGCGTAGGTGGAAAGAAGATGTGCTGTTGTGCTCCCGCTTGCGAAGTCTCGAGCTCTGTTGTCATAGCTGCAGCTCTACCCTATTCAATTGAGGAGTACCGTTCAGCCAAATCAACGCGGTTCGCTCGTTGCAGCATACAGCCGTTGTTGAACAAACGATCAACTGCTTCGGCTGAGACAGGACAAGTTTGGACACCGACCTTCGTCAAGCCAGGCCCGTACGAGGTATGAACTGAGGCCAGAGCAAACGCACACGTCTCTAGCCCAAGGCCGACAGAAGCACTTGGACACACTTTGCAGTCAAAGCGGACCTCTGCAGCTCCACCTCCGACGACGTGCTGGACGTGGAACCTGAAGAGCCTGGAGCGTCTGTGCGTGGCTCGCCGGTGCCCATGGCTCCAGCGAGTTGCGGCGTCGGCTTTGGCGCCGTGAAGCTTTTAGTTTCGGGGGGTTCGGGATCTAGTAGAAGGATAAATAGAAAGATGGCAGTTTGCAGTCGATTTTGACCTGAGACTGTCTGAGCCGGTTGGTCTCCAGCACACAGGTGATGCAGGCGAGTGCCATGTTGCTGCAACAATCCGATGTCAGGCACACCACATCGAGCGAGTGCTGGGACGAGGTCGTTGTAGTAGACTTGTGCAGTACGGCACGACCTGCAGCGACAGGGTTAACACTTGCGGAAAAGCTTATGCAGGCCGTTTGGAGGAAACGAGGGAATTTCATCAATCGGCATCAGACACCACAGCCAGCTCAAGGTTGACAAATTGGATCACATGACCAATCCACTCTTGACCTAGAAGGCCAGATGCCTACAAACTAGGCTCACTGAAGCCCTGCACCGAAAGCCCAAATGCAAGCTGTCCGTTGCTTCAAGAGCCAGTTTAGTAGAGTAAGGCTTGAGGGAAGGAATTGCCATCAACGGTGCCCGTTTGGAAAACTCTGATAGCCTTGAGCTGCAGGCTGCAGCTCCTTCAACCCTAAATCTTCGATCTCGCACGGCAAGCCCTGAAGCGATACAAGGGCCCATGCTGAACGTCGTGGTAGGCAAGGTTGTTACACCTCGGATCTATTCGGTAACACAAGCCGACCGTGACTGCACTCGGATGCACATATCCGACTTCGACACGAGATACGCTCATTTTCTCCAGAAACGTTTCTTGCGAAGTGGCACGCGTGAGGAATGCCTAAGGCTTCGCACGCGCTATGTAAACATGAAACAACCATAGTATAATGAAGGTGAGCCCATGGCTTGTGGTAGTTGTTGGCCTCACCGTGGTGGTATGGGCCTGACAGGCAAGAATCGAAGTTCGGATTTCCCTGGAGCCACATACCTGCTTTGAGTCGTTGCCAACCCCAACCAGTTCGAGTCTTGGGTTCAGAGTTCAAGGCTTGAGGCTGAGGTCTAGAGTCTAGAAGATGGGCAAAAACTCAGTGCCTTGGAAAGACGACCCACTGGGCACTCACACTTGCCGCCTGTGTCTGAACCGCCACGTCGTCTGCATGCTCTATCTACATGTGCATGTGCTTGAACTGTGTATGCATACATACACACATATACATATACATGTAGTTACCTGTTTATTCCTTTCTCTATTTCTGTTTATTACGTATATCCCTGTACACAACTTGGTCTGTTTACTCACAGCAGTCAAAGACGATCTGCCTCTCCATCCATCTATATACCCATCTATCTAGGGAATCTAGGAACGGTTTGCGTTGGGGTTGGGCTTACGGAGTCCCTTCAATTCCCACTTCCCCCTCTAGGTCGGGTTCATTTGGATTGTTGTCATCCTCGCTGTGTGCAAAATGTGACTGGAGTTTGGGTTCAATTCTCCGCTTCTTCCTGCGTAGGTTTAAGCGTAGGTGCCGCTGCATGTGACTATGGCTTTGCTCAATCCTCCCTTCTTCCGCGGCTTCATGCGCAGAGCTACTAAGATCCCTAACACGAGCGCAGTCACGAGGAACGACCCGAGGTTTCTCTATTCCATCTCCGTGAGTGTGGGCATATGTCGGCATTTAACGAACATCGACATGATATCAAGATCGACGACATCCACGGGCACAAAGATTCCTGTGCCTGTAGGAACTGTTGAAAACATCGCAACGGCATCAAAAGTCGGACGAGGATTCCCAAGCACAGTTTCCTTGCTTGCCTGTCCAATCCTGGTCTAGTCCAAGCCGGGGACGGCAGATGCATGAATGTCTACTTGTGTTGATTTTGTACATTGTGCTTGTATGTCAGTGTGAATTTATGTGCAGATGCATGTGTGTCTCCATTATGTGCATACATACACATTTGCAAAAACGCACACACACACACACACACACGCACACGCAAACCGTACGACATGCTGGCCTCGTGGACAAGGGTCACCGGACGGGCTAAAGAAAGCAACGCCGGGACGATGATGGTCAATGCCTCGCGGGCTCGGGGCGGAACGATTCTTTTTAGAATTTGAGTATGGTTTTGGGTTGATGGCACACGTGGCTTCCAGTTGTGAAGTTCTGCTGAAACTTGGCAGTCACAAGTGCTGGCTTCAGATATGCCGATGGTTTGAAGTACGACAGAAGTCCGAACTTGAACTCAACAACCGGTTAAACCATTGCCTACCCATTACCTGCTTCAAGGCCAAGGGTCTGCTGCCGAGGCCAGGATGCCCATCGCCGGGCCCAGGTTCCGCAAAGCATCGGTGCAGTCGCAGCGGTCAGCGAGGCCTCCTCGGAACTTCACGGAGCGGCGCTTCGGGTTTGGAGAATTTGGTGGGTCCTCCCAGGTTCTAGGGCTGAGGGTCAGAAGAAACGCGTGGTATAGCAAGATTTCTGTCGGCTTCCATTTGTTTCGGAGGCGGGCTTCTCAGCCCTTCATTCCGCAAGCCCTGTTTCCAAGAATCTGTCGGGAGGTCATCATCGCCAAACTTGACATGCAACAGCCATGGAGCTGAAACCATAAACTACCACCAGAACGGTGATATGCGCAGTGGTTCTTGCTGCAAAAATACCATCTAGAGTCATCTAGAATCCTCAGCAGAAGCCATCCGAGGTGCAATCGCACACCAACCCAACCTGCATGATGTTTCACGTCCCTGAAGCAACAAAAACAGCAACAGCTCCTCTGGTCTGGTAGACCCGAGTTGGCTCGCCGGGCTGATAAACATCAGTTCCTCCGGTTGGGTAGCCACGGGGTGGATCACCAACTGGCTGGTAGACGTGCTCCGCAGCCATGGGTTCGCAGATTTTAACAATAGCATTCAGAAGCTACGTCATACCAGAAGCTTACACGAAAAACACAACACGTACGGGCAGCAATAATGCTCCACAATCCATATTGTCACTGTCTGCTTTGCATGTTCTAGTACACAATCGGCAGACATGTCAACCGAACTCAATCGCATACAACTTGATTTTGAATAGCCCGCTTTTCATCATCTTACGTAGTCGGTAGGCAAGCCCATCAATGTGTTGCACAAACGAAAAGGTGTACATGGTGGACCTTTCCCATTGCACGCCTTGTTAGCCTTGGTGGAACATGGAACCAATTAGCGCTACTCTTCCGCTTGTCTCGCCAAACAGCAGAACCTCACCTTGTCACCTTATGATTTAAAACCTTCTGTAGCTGCGAAAAGACGCGATTTAGAAGGTCACTGCATTTTCTCTAAACAACATCCCGAAGTAAAGTCTTTCAAAAACATTTCCTTTCATTACTGCAAAACCATTCCCTTGCGCTAAACCCACTTCAAACGCGGAAAACTCCGCTTGCAGAATGTTTCGGACCACAACAAAAAGGACTCCAAGACTCCAAGCAACCACCTTAGCAACAAGAACATCATTAACATCAATGACGACACCATAGCAACAAGTCCGCCTGGAATAAGACAACCTCCAACAAAAGGCCTGTCGCTGCTTTGAAAGGGTGAAAAGCTTTTCGTGAAGAAGACTTTTTACCATCAGGTGGCTAGAACAGGCCGCTTTTCTTGCTATTGGATCGAGCTTTGTTTTTGCGTCTGGACTTCCAATTCTGGTTGCAAGTAAAAACCGAGTCTGGCAAAATCTTGTTCTGGTTCCGATTTGAGCATTAGCTCCACTAGGCTGATTGCATAGAGAAAGCGAAAAACCCGTAGTTGCCTTTGCACTTGCATCCAACATTGTTGTCACATGGTTTCCACACGGTGATCCGCTGTTCAGCGAACAGCGGTCTATACAAGCCTCTTCGATGGCCGGAGTGCCAAGAATACTGGCTTAGGTGTTATGCCACACGGACACTCGGGTTCAACCCAACGCAACCCGACACGTACAGCGCAACAGCTGTTGCTTTCCCATTCAACGCAGGAGACTGACCTTTCTTGGATGGGTCCGAAGGAATAAAAAAAGTTCGAAGTCCACTTATTCTTGTGTCAAAACCTCTCTCTTATACGCTGCCGTCTCTAGACCCCACCAGAGATCGTCGTACTCGGAGCTGATTCAAAGTCGAAAGGGTGCTGAGCGTACGGAACTGACCTAAAACTGAAGAATCGACAGGGCTGAAAGGCCTAGGACGCAACGATCTTCGGCCATTTGGCCGCGAAAATTTGCTCGTAATCGAAACTCCAACAGAATGCAGTTCTGAAACGGGGGAGTCCGCGGGACTCCAGCCTTCGGCTTCCGTGAGCCAGCGGACTCTCCCGTCTCAGAACTGCATTCTGTTGGAGTTTCTCACTCCCAAATTTTCGCGGCCGAAGCCCTGTCGATTCTTCAGTTTTAGGTCAGTTCCGTACGCTCAGCACCCTTTCGATTTTGACTCAGCTCCGAGTACGACGATCTCTGGTGGGGTCTAGAGACGGCAGCATAAGAGAGAGCAGCGGCTTCGGTGGCAACATTTAGCTGGCAACAATTGGCTGGCAACATTTAGCTGGCAACAATTGGCTGGCAACAATTGGCTGGCAACATTTGACGCGGCTTCGGTGGGAACAATTGGCTGGCAACATTTGGCTGGCAACAATTGGCTGGCAACAATTGGCTGGCAACATTTGGCTGGCAACAACTGGCTGGCAACATTTGGCTGGCAACAATTACTGGCAACATTTGGCGCGGGTTCGGTGGCAACATTTGGGTGCATTTGGCGCGGCTCGGTGGCGACATACGAAAGAGCTGCTGTTTGTGGCTACTGTTTGTGGCTACTGTTTGTGGCTACTGTTTGTGGCCACTGTTTGTGGCAACCTTTTGCACTGTTTGTGGCCACTGTTTGTGGCTACTGCTTGTGTTGTGGCTACTGCTTGTGGCCACTGTTTGTGGCTACCCTCCCCCCCATGCCTCTATCCTCACCCGGTATCCTCACCCCCGGTCCTCACCACCCGCGGTCCTCACCGCCCGCGCCGGTCGTCGCCTCGTCGTCGTCGCCCCTGGCTTCTATCCTCACCCGTATCCTCACCCGGTATCCTCACCCCCGGTCCTCACCACCCGCGGTCCTCAGTCCTCACCACCCGCGCCGGTCGTCGCCTCGTCGCCGGTCCTCACCAGTGTCCTCGCCGGTGGGTTTAGGAGCCTGACCCGCCAGGAACCCCTCACTGCGCTCTTCACCCTTGCGCAGCAAGGTCGCAACCAAACTGAGGAACACAAACACTCGTCAAAGCATACCCGAGCGAGCAACAACACACCTGCAAGCGCACATCACACATGTCCCAACGCTTCAATGAACAACTAACAGCATCGGCAAGGCAGTGGTCAGGGTTGCACAACGTCATGACAGCAGCACAGCGGTGGAGAGAGGCATGAGCACAGCAAAGTCTGGAAAGCGACACAGACTAGCAAATGCCAGGGCGGTCTTTTTCGCCTTGCGCGAAAAAAACATGAACCGGAACTACTGCTGGATCCGACATGTCAAGCTTCTAGCAGCACTGCTGAATGCCCTGCCGCTGTAAATTCCATAGTATTCTGCGAACTGACCCTCGGACACAAATATCAAGTTCTGGCCAGCTGGAGTCTCAGCTTTGCTGTTTCGCAGCACCACGAAGATGTCATCTTCATCACAGGCTTTCGCACGCTCAGCTTCTAGGTGACAA